CATCCCGATTTCTACTGAGTAGGTACACCCACGAGCAAACTCGGCTACCGCTGGGGGAAACAATAAAGTAGGAAAAGGGTCTCCTACCATTTGGTAAATTTATTCGAGGTAGTGAAATAAATGTTAAATCGAATATTAATTTGGCATACATTTCAGTAATTCCAAATAACAAGTGGAGGCCTTTCTCTTACGCCACTTTCTCCCCTAGTGGAAGCCGAGTTTACTCGTGAGTGTACGTATATTTTTGATTTAATGTAAAAAGTTAAACGATAAATTAGTTATACAAAATGTTATTTCAATTAGTTCAGTATTTTCGCAGAACATACTACAGCCCGCAGTTCAATAGATGGCAGCATTTTAATAGAAATGAATTTAATAAGTGTGCCCGTCGCAAAGAAACTTCATCTGAGCGGTTCCGTTGCGATCGTGGGTTATACGTGGATACTGCGTTTTTACTAAAAATAACTTATGGAATCTATAATATTGTTCACCAAAGTTTGGTTTTGACACTTCCATTTTCGCTGAGCAGAAATAGAGATGTTTTATACTTCCTATTAAATCAACTATTATTAAGTTAACATGTTTTTAAAAATACTTTTATTTACATTTAGTTATAAAGCGAGGTTTACATTTTATATCTAATAAGTTTTTTTTGTCGATTATTGCATAAATAAATAATAAAAATCAATTTCTGTGATAGCAGAACTCTTACATGATTAGAAATAGAGACATTGACCTTATTCACTGTAAGGAACTTTTGGAAAAATTTCTTCTAATAAATTAGAGAATATTCAGTAATTTATATTCGTTGGTAATTGAATACATTCCGTATGGTACAGTGAATCTTCGATGAGTGTTGGAACATTCCTCGGCACTGGAGATATGTATTTCATAAACTAATGGCTATATGCGGCTGAAACAAATATCATTGGCTTCAGAATTCCAAGCTTTTACACTATGGCAGACCTCATTAAAAAGTCAGCGTCACACCTGGGGACCTGTTCTTGTCAGTACTGAGGCTCCTTCGAACATTCATCGAGGAATTACTGCACTCTGTTCATCAACCTTCTGATGCGCTAAGAAACAAGTGAAGAGTTTTTGTAGAAAACACTCTAAGTGCCGAAATTGAAAAAATTTGTTTATCGTAAAATATTCTTTGTGAGAATGGGAATATTATAGTCTACCGTGTAAGTGCAATATTTTTTTGTAAATAGTTATCAATACAGTGCTAAAAGTAGCATCACTGGTACGTTCAACGTTGCACCTGTAGAGAATATTGTAAGTGCCAATTCAAGTGTTATATTTTTGGTTTTCTACACAATTAATCTCGGAACAAACAGGATTGGCACTTATAGTGTTTACAAATTTAAACGAATAGTACATTGTGATTTCTCTACAATTAAGAGGTCGCACATACAGGGTTTTCTACAAACACAGTTCACTTTTTTATGAATTTGGACTACCTTAATGCAAGAAATAAAAAACTTTGTGATGCATTTGGGTTATTACATTCTTAGTCACATTTAGCAATAAGAAGAAATCAAATTTTGTAAATAACTTAAAGTCAGGTAACTTTTTTCTTCCTCCTGAAAAATTTAATTTTTAGAACGTACTGTGTTTTCTACAAATACTTTTCAAATGTATTATTAACCATTTCTTTTGCCTTTTTACATACATTTGCTGCAATGTTCAGTCACAGGATTATCATTGCCATAAATTAAATAATTATTTAGTAACAATTGAGCAACACTCCCGGAACAAGTTATGATTCAGTCGGATCGATCATAAGAAGAGCAGCAAACCATCCGTTATTGCGGGCTGTAATTGTAAACCAAACAAATACAGCAAATGTTCCGAAAAAAATTGACCATTGTCAATATTAGAACGTTTCGTAGGAGATTGGGAATTTTTCGTATTACAAAAATTCTCTTTCCGAGCCGGTACGCGTGTACACTCCATAAAAGTTTATGGAACTCTCCTATCGAATTGGGTGTTATTCTGATAGTAACGTTGAGAAAAGATTCGGCCGGATATAATCTCGTGCGAAGTAGACGGCTGTAATTTGCAGACAGATTTTGTTTCGAAGAAGAGAATCAAAGTAATTTGCACACAGATTTTGTTTCGAAGAAGAGAACCTAAGTAATTCCCCCATAATAGATCGAGGCAAACGTTCGGTGTTGACGAACTAGCCAATAATGATTTCCGGGTTCAACGTTTAATCGTTATTTCCCGAGAAAATAAGCGGGCCGTTCTTGCTGTTTTCTGCTTGACGGATCACTAACGAATCGTTGATTTCCCATGTGGGCTTCCGGCTTCGTTTGTTTTGGGGCTTATGGAAATGAACCCTGGCAAGGGTGTAATGTAATTTCAAGTTAAGCGTGCAACAGTGGAGGTCGATACCCGGAGGTTCGTCTCGTTTTAACCCGCCGGTGGGCGCGTATGTGTACTGAGTACATGGAGGTCAGTTTTTCGCGAAGAAAACCATTTTACCATCTTGGAATCTATCTAGCACTCATATGTATTCCTCTAGTGGATATTTTTACATCATATGACACCTTGTTTAGGTTGAAATACAGTTTGGAAGTGTTTCTAAATTGAACGAAAGTGAAACCATGCTGCGCATTCTGCAGTGTGACGGAGCGGTACGGTTGTTCCTAACATTGGTTTATGGTACAGTCACGGAGCATTTACTGCTTCCCAATCTTTTTCCAGAAGCAGTTTTAACTTATTTATTAGGTATACAGGCAGTCACCGAAGCAATTGGTACAGTTACTACTGTGTATTTCGGTTTCGGGTTATTGTTCCGTCCGTTCTCCTCAATAGCGAATTATCGCAACACATAAACCTTAGTGTTTCTGAACCAATATGGAAATTGAAAATTCACATATTTCGTTGTTTTGTAAAAAATTGTTTTGTATTTGATGTAGCGACGCATCGTTACTCTCACTTCCTCTCTCTCTCTCTCTTTCTTTCTTGAGATAATATACTAACGGTACATATGAAGAGAAGATTAGGAAGGTTGCATAAAAACTAATTTTTCTAGAAAATATGAAAAATAAATTTGGGATTTTGACTATTTCGGAATTGTCATTCAACATACATAGAATTGAATTTCTAATGTACGATATTAGAGTCGAAGTCCATTATTGGGTCATTCCAGGCAAAATCAGACACTTTTTGAAGCACCATTTCGGATTTTGTTCAAATTCGTATATGTTGTAGTCTTTAGAATTATTTTTGAAAATTTTTTAAATTGTTGATTTTACAGCTGTTTGAAATTTAGGGTCAACCTTTTTTCAATACATCATAACTATTGAACTAACAAACTGATCAAAATGAGCTTTATGGGTACTTACAGTGGAGATATAAGAGTACCAAATAAAAATTATTTCAGTTAAAAAACTTGGTTAACCATTTATTTTGCAATTGTTCACTTCAATTAATTTTCATACGGCCAATTTCAAAGTGTCCATATTTGTGAAGATATGCCCATAAAGAGGACAAATAGGGCTATATTCTCATTTTAAAAAATTTTTTTAATAACTTCCCGGTATAAAAGCAGGGCATTTATACCGGGAAACTGTTAACAAAATTTTAAAAAATGAGAATTTATATATATATGGAGGGGGGCAATCAAGCGCCCAGTACTGGGGATGACGTCTGAACACTCAGTGCCGCGGAGCTTTCAAACATTCATCGATGATTTACTGTATGTTATATTTAAAGTCAACATGATGAAATAGAAATAGAAAATGAATGGGAAGTCGATGATGTAAAGTCTCATGTATCAAGAATGACAATAGCAAATTGCGTTTTCAAACAAAACTTCATCTTGCAATCTAGTTTTATTTAATACCTGATAGCATATTTCTACTTTCATGTGAACACTTGCTTCCTTTATGTGTATAATGAAGAAGCTATACAGATAACGTCAGAGAAGCTTCCCAGTTCTTACAAGGAGACACCTCCTGTTGTAAGACTGACTTTTTAATAAGGTGATAGAGCTAGATCAGCATAGTGATAGAGCTTGGAATTCTGAAGCTACTTGTTTCAGTCGCTATGACCATTTTAGTTTATAAGATATTTAATGTTAAATTCTGTTATCTTCACATCAACGTAAGATTATCTACACATATCCGCTAAAAGATAAATATAGTGTCTTCCCGAGCTATAGTGACGTTAGGTGTGACCTTCTCAATTGGTGTTCTATGCGATGCCCTTAAGGGTACAAGCCGTTAAATGTGTCCTTCGCTACTACTTTAGGGCCGTACTTATTTGGTCCCATTTACTTTCTTTTACTACACGTCTGAAATGTTTTTTGTACACTTCGAGCATGAAATATTTTTTTCTTTGCAGTATATTTAAATAGTTTTTTGTTTGTCCGTTATACGTATATCTGTACGACTACAAGCAACCATTACCCGCAAAATACGTTGGCCGTCCTTGGTCGCTAGACTTGCCACCGAAAAACTAAAAGGCGTAAAGGATCCGAACTCCTGCTGTTACTATACCTTCGACAACTGAAAGCGTTATGTAAAATAACGCGTATGTTAGAATATTTAACTTCCATTGAACTAGTCAAAACTTACTCACTGCTGAGATAAAAATTACCCAGGAACCGTTATAATTATCATTAAAAACTTGAAAGAGTACATTCCCATATACGAATTAAATGTACCACAAAACTCGCCCAAGCACTCCAGTTCACCAGGATGACCCAGTGTTCGTATAATCGTCAACGTTTCGATAGACCGGTGTACGGATAATGGAGTCTCTATAGCATTACCATCGTCCGTTACCGTATTCCCGGCGTGGCTGAGAAGTCGAAACAACGTTTATGTATCTCTCGTACGAACGACAAAACATCCACGAGTCAGGGGGAGTTGGCCGGGCTGACGTGGATAGTTAGGAGATGCTGGGGCGTTAGGACAGGTTCATCCTCGTGGGGAAAGGGAGATCCACGGCTGATACGTTCGCGTGAACTTCTGTATCGTACTCACCTAGTAGCCAGATCCCGGTGCACGAAGTTCAGATTCTCCAGGTACCGCATGCCCGACGCGATCTGAGCCGCCATGTAGATGAGACAGTTGAAACTGAAACGAGGAAACGTCGTGAGATCGCGGCCAGGGACAAAGTTGTGGTGCGAGGGGCTGCAGCTTTTAGGGGATGGGGGAGGTCGCGGAAACGACGGAACACGGAGGGTTCGGTGACTGCACGAAGACTACGTCGCTCACGATTAATAAACGCTTCAAACTCCGTACGGAGTGTTAACTTCGCGATGCTCCTGCCGCAGCGGATGAAACTAAATCCTGAGTCTAGGCGGCGGAGCTGCTGCTTCGCGGGGGAATTATTTTGAAATTTCCGCTGCCACTGATTAATTCTTGTCAAGTATTTCTGCCGAATATACAGGGTATCTCAGCTAACTTGATTACCTCGAATAATGACTTAACATTTTATGAAACTTTTGAGGAGTGGAACTGAAATCTTATAAGGTACATGGTGCTTTTGTGGGTGCAAGCATTTCAGGGACTTCAAGGTCACCTTGCTTTTTTTTAACAGAATGACCTATTTTTTGTACCATAGATCGACAGAGTATTAAATTCTGAGTAAACATGTGTTGATCTTCGTACGTCCTAAAACTAATAGTGAACGAGATATTTACAAAATAATTTTTAATACGTATGTGGAAGTTACAGTTATATAATAGGTGCTCGAACTGATGCCCCTCAACTTCAATACAGTGATTATGTTGTAAATATCTCATTAACTATTAGGTTTAGGACGGATGAAGGTCGACAAATTTTCACTCAATATTCCACAGAATTTTACTTTATCGGTCGAAGGTACAAAAAATAGATCTTCCGTAAAAAAACTCGGCTTCCGCTAGGGGAAAAAGTGACGCAGAAGATAAAGGCTCCTGCCACTTAGTAAATTTATTTCAAGTACTGAAAGAAATGTTAAACCGAATGTTAATTTGGCATAAATTTCAGTAACTCTCAAAACTAAATGGTAGGAGGCCCTTCGTCTACCTCACTTTTTTCCCTAGCGAAAGTCGAGTTTGCTCGTCGGTGTACCTTATGAGATGTGACATTTAATGCCATTTAAATTCCACTTCTCAAAATTTTCATAACGTGTACCGTTAAGTCATTATTCGAGGTGATCAAATTGTACTTTCGAGGCAAATTACATTGAAAATTCGTTCGGAACATGTACACTCTTGTCCATGAGTTATCAAACATTTGACGGGTTTGAGAAAAATGAAAATCGAAACAGAAATGCAATTACTTGAAACAATTTCAATAACTGTGTATTCTATTTACAGTTTCCATATCTCAAACGTCTTTCAGAATTGCTTGAAAAAATTGCAAAATAGTAATCACCTATCAGTTTTCAACGTTATTCATAATCGAGCCTATTTAATACAATCGAATTATTTTGGCGCTGGTTTATGAAAAACAAGGAATACGCGAAGAATTAACGAAGAATTTGTGGAAGTCATTTAGATTATAGACTAATTTGAGTGGAATCAAGGGAGAATTATTTCCAAAAAATTCAGTGTTAAAAAATACGATTCATTTGAATCACTATTCCTAATTTAAATATTTTCTAATTAAACAGATATTTAAGATTGTTCACACGCTGAATATAACTATATTTTTTTTGCAATGTGTAAAGCTAATAAGAATTCCTTTATTTCATAATTTAAGTAACTTTTTAACAGTAATTATCTTTTATTCGATGTTTAGTAGCATAAGTGTCCGGTGACTTATGGACGGGAGTGTATTCTTGAATAGAATTCAGCTAACGTGTTTGACCATTACTCACTGTTTCTACTTACTGTATCAATTTTCATGTGTAGGAGACAGAGCTTCTACCGAAACGTAAAATACCAGTATTATACCAGTATTTTTCAGTTGCACCTTCGTAACATTTATAGAAACCGAAATACGAAAATAGCGGTACATGAAAATACCGGTATACGTGTATGTACCTAAATTTACCGATAATTTTTTCGGTAATAAAATGTATCTTCAAAAATGTAATGAACAGAAAAAATTACTAGTAAGTATTGGTAAATATATCGGTATTATTATACAGCGGTATAATATCATATCGGTATTTTCGTATTTCGATTTCTATTAGGGTTTTGAAGGTGCAACCGAAAAATATCGATATAATACCAAAGGTATACCGAAACCCATATTACGGAAAACCGAAATATATACCGGTATAATACCGGTATTTTACAGGGACTTCTACCGAAACATAAAATACCGGTACTATACCGGTATATATTTCGGTTTTCGATAATATATCGCTTTCGGTATACCTTTACTGGCATAATACCGGTATCAAAGTCATACCGGTTTTAAGTCCCTGGGCATAATACCGGTATCAAATTCATACCGGTTTTAAGTCCCTACTAGGAGATCAATTTCCAAATCGACTTTTTCAAAACCAAGTCATCATACAATGTGAAAGTGTACATTATACATTTTCGAGTGATTTGTAAACGAATTTGTTTTTCCGTTTAGCAGAGATGTCCCCGCAGAGAGTGTGAGTCGTGCTTTTTTTAACGATTACCTAAGAGTTTTGACGCCGATCGGCATAGAATGGGCATCTTCGGCAGTGATATGCGTTTTAAGGAATTGGCAGAGATCTCCGTGCTCCAGGTACTCCATCACCACGCAGTATGGCTCTTCGCGGCAGCAGGCGCCCAAGACTCTAGCTATATTTCGATCCTCCAGGGCAGCCAAAATTCTGACGTCACGTTGAAAGTCCAATCTGAAAACATGCATAACGACATCAATAACTAAACACAACAATGGCTTTAACGATCATTAATTTTCTGAAAATTTTCCTTTTATCTTCTATGATTTGAAAGAAACTACGGATCGAAATTTCATCCTGTAAACTTGCGTTAACCCTTCATTGTCCGATGCAACTTTGCAGTCGGGAACTAGTTTTAGCATTATTAAGCAAGTGAGAATGCTTTTGTGCACAGTTGATCAATGTAATTTGAAAACAACATTTTTTGGCCCTAAAGTCACACCCCTATTTTGAAAGAAAAAACTAAATTTTTTAAATTGAAAAGTTAAGTTCCTTGTGGTGAACTAGTCAACAGTAAACAGTATACACGGATAAAAAAATTGTTTCAACGTTAAAAATTAATTTTGGCAGCAAAGAATTAACGTAGCTAACGAGAAATCCGTGTCTCTTGTCATTGGTTGGACTACACGGGGTCATTGTTAACCTATTACAATGTCAGAAAAGTTTACATTGAAGTGAATAGTCGATAACAGATGTTAATATACCTACTCGACGTTCTACCTCGAAGCAGGGAACACCACCACCACAGTAATTAGAACTACTTTAATAAATGCACGCAGGTACGAAGTTAGTGTTTACTGCAACTACATTCCGATTCATATTACCTCGAACGTGTGGCTTCAATAAACAAACAGTTTTCAGCAAGCAATTGTATCGTCGAATTCTCCTACCCTCTGTACAACGAAATTACAATAGTTGTGTGCACGAAATACCCACGAATTTCGGCAAATTTTCATTCCGTCGACTTTCCAACGCGGCAGAGTTGTCGAGACACGGAACACGTTGGCACGGAATCAGTTTCCGTATCGTGCGTCGTTGAGAAAACTACGTGGATTGTTAAGGAGAGGGGGTGGGGGAAAATGGACTATTGCTTTGGGACCAACGTTGTCCGTTTCGCGAAATAACCGTAAGATTTTCGCGCGAACTTCCGGGCATCCTCGTTTGCATACCGGTTGCAAAGTAAACGACTCGGAGGGCGATTCGATTAGTCGCTGGCGTACTTGTACGCGAAAGGAAACTCTGGAGCGCCGTTTTCCAAAGAGTTGTGTACACATACATACCTACGCGGGTACGTTCGCGAGCACGCGCGTTTCCACGCAACATCGTTACGTCGGGCTTACTTACGATCGACTTGGTAATGGTACTCTCGGGCCGTGATAGCTTAATGCCGCCGTTAACAAAACTACGAGACCGGTATCGATTCCCCATAAACTGCGAATTCTGGTGCGTACCATCGCCAAGGCGTCTTCGTACGTTGCGTGGGCGGGAGTAACGGCCTTCACAGGGCTTAACTGTATGCAGAGTAATATGTGTCGAGTTCGACCGCAAGGTGCTACGCACTAAATGGTACTTTTTTAATTTTTTTAATGGAACGTTCTGATTCTAAAAATTGATCGCGATAATTTCATAGAGAGATTGGTAGATTCATTTTTTAGTAGCGCTAATGAGATGCGAAATGGGCCGAATAAGGATTGGCGGACAGGATTTGAAACAATTTAGGACTGTGGCGGCACGTGAACAAACGCGCCGCCTCATAGACGACGTGCCGATCAGCGCGTTGCGACAAAACGCACTTCGGCTGCTCGGGCGAAAGTTCTCGGAACGGCGAGTTCCGTCGTCTGCTGTATACATTATCGAATAATCGAGAACGTTCTCGTTCGATGCGTCAGACGACGGCCCTCTCGAAAAGCCGTCGCGGGACAGACAAAAAGGGGCAGTCGGGCCTCGAGTGTTGCACGCGCAACAACGTTCCGAGCGATACACTACCAACGCGAAATAAACGATTTCCGACCGTCTATGTGTGGATTATTTCACCCAAACGCCGAATTTCCCCACAGGACCAAAAGATTTGTCTCGATTTCACCTAGGATCAGGAAACTTGAGTAAGGCCAACCCAAAACGGAAGGGGTTGATTGAGAGCAATTAACAACTTAGGAACCTGAATCAGATTAATGAACAACCGAGGGACTCCATAATGTAGGGTAATTTTATATACAGAGTGTCCCAAAAATGTCATCCGACCTGGAAATGGGGCACTCGGGGGGTGAATTGGAACAACTTTTTCCTTAGCAACATGTAATCTGAGGCTTCGTTACCGAGATATTAACGAAAAACCCCGACCAATCAGAGCGCGTACATGTACATATATGTGATATTGGTTGTTTTGTATTCATTGCGAACGTCGTGTCGTTTTGTGTTCATTGAAGAGTTGAGTTGTTTATAACAAGAGGTAGCTTGTTGCAGCTGTGAGAGAGACTGAGAGAGAATAATTTGGTTGTAAGTGTGAGAGAGAAGAGAATGGATTATGTCAATGCCGATCTTATCAATCCGTATTTTTAGTAGTGTTTTTCTAGCAATGGAGACGGACGGTATAAAAAACACGGACGGCATAATTTTGACGAACTATATTAATGAATTTAATTATAGTGTTTCGTATTGTATTTGTGAATTACAAAGTTAAAGTATTTAATAAATTTGCTATCCTGTTTCTGAATAATTATATTATCTCTGATCCTACAATAATTATGAGACTTTTTGGACCCGTAGGACTGCAGCTCGAAGCTCAACAGACTGAAATACCTAGGTTCAAAATCTTCTCGATTCAAGGACACAGTCTGGGAACCCCTGGACTCAGGTATCAAAGCTAGGGCCACTAGCCATGAGGACTCTTGGTTGCAACCTCTCCAAATTTGGGTCCAAGGTTCTTCAGGTTTGGATCCCTAGATCTACATGTTGTTGAGTGTGGGTTCCTCGATCATGGATTATTCTGGTTCAAGTCTCTGGGTCTTGGTTTTGGTACAATTCAACATCCTCCGTTCTGGGTTAGTCCGATTCGAAGTCCTCCGTTTTCGATTGATTTGATGTGGGTTTTTGTGTTCTAGGTTGGTTCGATTTGGGTCTTTGGGTTCTCGGTTGGTCCGATTTGGATCTCTGGGTTTTAGGTTCGTCTGATTTAGGTCTTTTTGGGTTCTAATTTCATCTAATTTGGGCCTTTGGGTTGTAGGTTGGCCCGATTTGTATACGTCGGTCTTATGGTAGCTTGAATCGAGTCCCAGATTGATCTCATTCACATTTCTCGATCTTGAGTTGCTCCAATTTGGGTCTTTTGCGTATATATTAATTTGATTCAATTCTCCAGGTTCAGAAATGGCACCGTTTAATTTTTCAATTCCTGCATTCTTCTGGTATGATCTAATAAATTGGGTTGTCATATTTTCCTATTTTAACCCTGATATGCATTGGGTTTCATTACATGCGCGTGAATTTTTTAAATTTATTTCCTAAAATTTTTCTATGGAATACCTCGTTACATTGAAATATCAACGTAATGGCAATTTTACGGTAATCGAAGGCTGTCCTAGTTGTTCAATCAATTTCATTACCACGATCTTCGTTACGTCGGACGCGGGAGGCACAATTAATATTTCTAATGAATATTCATGCCCGTAAAATAAGATGGCCGAGGAACAGAGCCTCCCTCGCGAGCGAAATGAACGCCATGTAATTCGGGTTATTTAAACATTTATCCTATTAACTGGCTTCGACGTCGATAGAAAAAATACGGTTCAGTTTCCAGAAATCCAGAAGCACCTAATTTCAAGTAAAATGTTATTCCTGAAAGTGTAATTAACCTAATGAAAAAGTACCTCCATAGTTTCTCTCCACTGACGATACGACCGTAGAATCATGAGTAGATATTATTAAATTTTAACCATTAATTAACGTTCCTCAAATTAAAAGCACTTTTAAACAGAAACAAGGGTTTTTACCTTAACAAACGAAATATGATTGAAATAACATGGAAGTTCGACTAGAACAACGATGTAAATGCAGTAGACGAAATCACATCGGTTTGGTATCCAGAAACGGAGAACTTTGCGTGGGTGTTCAAATAGAAAGTAGAGGAACTTTAGCTGGCTTGTTATTTACAATTATTCTGCACAAAGCGGAGGCAAAGTGCAGGGTCTTTTCTAAATCTACATACTGCTCCAATGATTCTAGCCGCTCATAACTGGAAGATATGTGATTGAAACGGTAAATAAGATTATAACACTGTGGATGGTGTTCCGAAAAGGTTTGACAAAATTTATATAACATATTCGGATGCAAACTAGATGAAACAATTTATGTAAACTCCAAATCATATAAATTATAAGCAACCGGTAATGCACTCGGTAAACTGTCCTTGTAACATCATGATTAATTTCTTGAATTATCCATTACGATCACAAAAATGAAAATATACAAATACACTACTCACAATAATTAGAGGACCGCTACAGTTTGGACCTCTATTACTTCACCTAATCCAAGGATACGAAACAAATACTCACAGGTCTGATAAACTGAAATCTCTTACGTACACTACTAACATTTAGTTTCGATTCTATAACAAAATTTCTAGAAATCATACGTGATATTGACAGTCACAATGGTTACAATACATGATCTTATAATTCTTTTGAACAGAGTAGACCAAACATCAGAGAAATCATGGAACACTTTTGCTCATATACCATTTATCATTGGTACCTAGACTGCAGATCTCCTGCATTGGCAATAAATATGAATGTATAAAGTGCAAGAAACCAAAAATTCCAAGGCATTACTAAAATTTGTAATCAATGAAATACTTAACCCGTAGTAGGCAAACTTCATACCAGCACCACTATAGGCAAACTGGTGCGAATCGGGATTTTAAAACTTTGATGTTTTAGAATTTAGAACATGTAGAAATAAATAGTAATATTTAACTAAAAAACATATGTTTCTGAAAATTTCCCCAGAAATCGATTGATGATACATTTCGCGGAAAGTTTAGTTTCTCATAAATGTTAACTAAAGAAGGTAAAATGTTGAAAATACCCAAACTTGTAATTTTTGCTGGTTATAATTCGCACCAGTGTGCCTACGAGAGGTTAAGTATAACTCCCATTTCCGTAAACTATTCCGAA